GAACAAGAAACTGAAGAAACAAGGGTAGTCTAATATTTTTTTCCATGACTGTAGAAGATGACTATATAGGTTGAATAATAGCAGCCCAAGAATGGAACCCTGGGGGACTCTGTATGTCATGGTGATCCACCAATGACAACTTTGAGATATGATCTGAACCAGCTGAGGCCTAGACCAAATAGTACCACCAATTTTTCCAGTAAATGGTAAATGGACTGTACTTGTGTAGCGTCTTCCTAGTCTTCCAACCACTCAAAGCGCTTTTACACTACATGCTACATTCACCATACAATCATACAGTGATGGATGACCCATCATAAACAGAAACTAATATTCCTCCACCGATGCACAGCATCGGGAGCATTTGGGGCTCAGTATCTTGCTCAAGGACACTTCGACATGCAGGAGAAGGAGCAGGGGATGGAACCACCAACCTTCTGATTAGAGGAAGACACACTTTCGCTACAGTCGCCCTATCGATAAGTGTATTTTATGATCAACAGTATCAAAGGTTGCATTAAAGCTATATCCATAGCATGGTATGGTACGGCTCAACTTGGCTTGACTCACTCTCTTTTGGTTTTCCCTTGTTAAAAGTTGTGGACAGTTTTGGTATCACCTCGGTCTGCCCCTTGCAGAACACTGAAATCCTGCTAGAGACAAACTCAGGCTCCTGAAGCCTAATATTATCTTTTGTTTAAATTTGGAATGCATTTTAGCACAGAACAAGGACTGTCCCTCATCACGTACACGTGGAAGAGTTGTCCAGTATAAACAGGTGGGATGATTATATTAAGATAAATGTTCATTAACATTTAACTTGTTATAATGATGTTCATACGGCAATACGAATTAATGTTTCTTTAGAACAAGAGATATTTTGGCAGCAAAACCAAAAACATATATTTATGTTAAGCACGTCATAAAATAAACAGAGCTGAAGTCAAAACTGCTTTAAAAGACATGCTCTTTTAAACCATTTCCTCAAATAAAGCGCAACATCTGACAGCACAGCATGATGAAGCAGCTTCCCAGTTTTTTTATGTGACTTCAAAATATTTTCTTTTTTAGAAAACAAGATGTTATTTCACTGTGTTTTCACAAGTTTTGCAATTCAAGCAGTGTTTATCACCAAAATATGTTTATATATGTAGTCACATAAAATACACCAGAGTGCAGACTTTGGTATCAACACCAAGTGGTTATTCAGATTAAAGCTTCACCTAAATCCTCAGTCAGTATAGAGCACAACCTTGTGTTAGCATATCCATGGGTCTTACAGTTGCTCACCATTCTATAGAAAAATAGAGTATAGTCAAGGGACTTGGGGAAAGCTGCTACCTGGGACTGGGACAAATGTAGATGTATAACTCTCCTATGAACAAAGCTCAGTCATTTAAATAATTGATCTAATGTGGGGGAGTCCTTTCTATTCCAACGTGCAGGACTCAATGATAGATACTGCACAGAACATACTATTAGCACAAATGTTACTTTCCTCAGTAAACAAAAATTCTAAAACTAATACCGAACCCTGAAATTGAAAAATTCCAACTGTAATTACTATAGATTTGCTTATCTGCTTCACTTACAGTAAACCCCACAAGGTTCATTCTTACTAATAGATTCACACATTCTCCAGGAGATTTATCATCTCCTCTTCTCTCTACCTCCCCTGTGCATGATGTCCTTGTCTCCCTCCATGTGAATGGTGTGCTTGAGCTTTGCCTCCTGTGTGTTCGTGCAGTCTGTCCTCTTCCAGACCTTCATGCCTTCTGACCCAGCAGAGGGCGCTCCACTATCAACTTGACCTATTGCATGCCTTATTGACCTGTCAGTAAACTAAGCTAGTAATGTTACGTTGCTTGCTACGAAAATGGAAGAGACTGGTGAGCAAAGCTGTCCAGAGTAGACAATTGCGACATCAAAGTATCAGAGAAGCAGCAAGCAGCTGCTACTACTACTACTACTGCTGCTACTACTACTAAGGCCTATTTTGTACACATGACATCTATTACATGCCTGTCCATCTGTTTCCATTCAAAATATACCAAAGGAGTAACACAATAAATAGTCAGATGTCACATAAGGACATGATATAGTTACATACCTTATACTTGGCACTGCTGACCATGAGGCTGCCTTCCCGCAACCAGCTGACCGAGGGTTTGGGGTTGCCGAAAGCCGTGCAGGTCAAAGTGATGCTACCCCCCTCCTTGGCTTCTACGTACTGAGGTGGCGTATCCGAGAACGTGGGGGGAGCTGAGGAGTCAGAGGATAGTGGGAGGTTTGGAGAAAAAGAATGAATAAGGACATCTTAAAATGTTTTGACCCAATATAAACTGGATCCGCTGCGTACTACAGCGACAACTCTGAGCACCAGTTCTGAGCACATAGATTCCATTGAAATATTCATTTTTGGCAATAAGCTTTGAACAATCGTTGCAGATCTCAATTTACAACATTCATTTAACCCTACAATATTCCCTCAATATACTCTTCTCAAAATACAATAATATAGTGCACTGGCTGAAAAAATGAACATGATTGGTTAAATCGTATGTTGTGTGTTGCTCCATGTATGACTGATTTGTCCCTGGTTTATTGTCCCAAGAGTGTGCAGGTTTTGATTAACAGGCAGTACAACTAAGTGGTTCAGACACATTTCTGTTCAGGAAAATATGGCTACATTCTGACGGGTCAGCTGTATTTAAAAACCAAATTCTTTAGTGGGAAAATATTACAAATTACACACCTGCTTTGGTGGCTCAGTCTAGGTACAAGTTCAAAACCTTTTGGTTTAATATTGCACTCTCTTCTTTATTGTTAAGCACTGATTACCCACTGCAAGCATACTGCACAGCGAGTGAGCACTACTCAGTGCTTGCTAAGCACTGGGAAAAACTCCACAAATGAAGACAAAACTGCACTGGTAGCTGAATCTGGCTGTATCAACATACATAACATGATGTGTTAACAAAATATTTATTTTTTGTAACACATACTGGTATATCATGGTTGCCAGGAGACTGTAAGGGAGACTGATCAACTGTCATAAGTTTGGCTCTTGAACATAAATGGAAATGTGGAAAAAACAACTGTTTATTTCAGTTCCATTAATAGGATGTCTTGTCTCCTAAATATATAATAAGTATTTATCTTTGCTCAAAAACGGGCACCACCATCAAGTGGTGATGCATCTCTGCAGTGAGGGTATGTAAAAGTGAACAGGTTTTATGTAATGGTAGCAACTATGGCCTAACTAACATTATAGAGATTGTAATCTTTTAATATTCCAGTATTTATAGAATAATTTCTCGAGTGTATTGTTATCTTGCAGATCATGGCATTTAACATATAGCGGGATATGTTCCATTTCACTGTTTTCCTGCCATTGTCTATACATTTAGTGATCATGGATGTAGCAAAAAAACACAAAAGGCCCTATATCTAGTGATTGGTTTGTCCGTTCTGGGCTACTGTAGAAACATGGTGGACTCTGTAGAAGAGGACCTGCTCCCTGATGAGAACGACTCATTCTAAGAAAAGAAAACCAAGCCCCCAATAATATCGCCAGGCTTTGAAGCCAATTTGATACAGTGGCTGAACCGTGTAATTACAGAAATGGCGTCACATGATGCACACTGACCCATAAGGTTACATTGTAAAAGAAGCAGCTGTAAAACAGTGGATATCCCCTGATAGCCCTGACTCATTACACTATCAGAATTTGATTCATTTGGTCCGAAACATTTAGACAGTCTAGAAGATCTACATCATTAAATCATTTTATCCCCATTAAAGTTAACGCAGGGCTATACTGGAAGTTAGCCAGCTTAGCCAGCGAAAGTCTCTGGTGTGCAGTATGTGCTCATCCCCGTAATTTCTTTACAGCAGGAAGTGGCTTTTTTTGGCTTTGTGCGCCACTGAACAGCTTTCATAGGAATGAACGGAGCACTGTCTACAACACTGTATCAATGATTTTTATTTTCTATTCTGCCAATAGATCCTCCTAAATGTTACACACTGGACATTTCATAAGTGCTATTTAGACAATTAAGTCCTAAAAGGAACATTCCTATTTGATAGCAGAAATCTTCTCATTCATATTTAGGAACAAGCTGAGTGTACATAATAGCAGAAGATTGGCCGATCTAACAAATTACCAAGAGACCACTTAATAATGCATGTGTGTAAACCTTTACCTGGCTTTGCCTTTGCTATCTGCCTGGATGCACATGTCCACAGTTTTAGACTTGTACCAGTACAGAGGGTAAGACGATGAAAGCCAGTTATTAAACAGAATGCTTGTCACACAACTGAACAGCAAGCTGAGCTGAGGAATAAACATTAATGGCTCTTACCCCTGGTGCTGTTAGTGCACACACACCATTCGCATTCACATGCATTTATATGCAAAATCCACACACATACACAGTTCATGAAAGCCTGTCCCTGCAAAAATCCTCTGCTGTGACATTTTCTGAGGCAGCAACAGCATTTTTTAATAAACAGGAGAGCTTGTTCTTGCCCTTCTTCAAGGATACAAGTCCATTGAAGTTGGAGATGCAAAGTTTTCTTCTGATTCTACCTCCCAAATGTCACGTTTATAATCAGACCTCAGTTCACATAAATGTAATACATACAGTATAGCGATGGTGAAATATTACTATTTAAATATATTTAGATAAATGATAAACTGGATGACGGTTTTTCACCATGCCTTTCAGGGCTTTTGAACTTCAATTAATTGATAGATTGTGATGTACCAGGCGTGCTGCATTTTGTAAAAAAATCCTCTTTAGCTCAGAGGCCTTCTAGATTATGGATGGATGATCATACAAGACAATTGGCACGTCTTCCTGCCACAACATACTTAAGCTGTGCTCTCTAACTACCCCGCCCCCAATTTAACGTGAACCAACCCCATTCAGCACATACACATGGTGATACCATTCTCAGTGATTCAATACAGATTTCGTTCAGTCATAATTCTTGTTTTGATATTCTCAATCTAATCACCTTAGGACTGAAGCTGATCTGCTTACATGTGTAATCCTGTAGCCTCTCAATTGCTAACATGTCATTCCATCTGCAGCCATAAGCCCAGCCATAGTGCTAATGCCACGCTGCACGCTTTGCCACGCCTCAGAGATAGTGACGAATGAAGCACTTCAGCTTCTTCAGGGACACTTACAGAATCTCTATTGATCCATTTAGTGAAAGTAAGTCATTGTGTTGGAACTGTGTTGTGTTGGAGCTTTTCAGTCATTCCCAAAATATGCAATTCCAACACTGGTTATGGACCCAAGTATGCAGAGATATTCCCATACACTAGGCGAAAATAACACATTTATACCACATGCAAAAAACTAAATGTTTTGTGGGTATGTCTGCAAAGGGGAGACCAGCTGGATACCCAAAAAAAACAATTTTTATTCAGATATCTTGAGGTCCCTTTGAAAATGGACGGTTTTTCCATGGCCAAAATTTAGCCTAACTTTGGAGCGCCCTCTCCGGTACTTTATGTGCATCTTATTTTTGGATTATCTGCAGTTGCTGAAAGATGGAGGATATAAATTACTTTCATCAAAGACTAGAGATGAAGCCATATTAACACTGCATCTGGAATCATCTATATATTTTATTAAAAAACATATTGGACACTAGAACACATTCATTGGTATATATTAATATCTATATTACAGCTTTAGAGTATCTTTTGAAATTATTAATATTGTAATATGACAATATTGTGCTTTATTTATTTTTTTAAATGGTGGTGGTTGGTTTTTATACTCAAGAAAACGCATTTATAGGAAACTATGAAAATCAGTTTGTAGAGCTTTGAGAGTTTCTCACCTTTACCGTTTGCCAAAGTTACATTATTGCCATGTGAACTGCAGCTGTGAGCAGGTACTATTTTTATAACTCTCCTCAGTGGTGCATTCAAGGGCAGTGACTCCCAATAATTGACAGCCAGCTTTTTACAAAACATCGCATTCAGAAGTTATGCTGTTAGTTAATTAAATTCAAAAGACAAATGTTAAGCAAAAATTATGTTGTGAAAGCTATAGTGTGAATTTATACTTTATATATTTATATTGGAGCATAACTTTTTTCCATTCATAGCAGATTGTTCAAACTGTGTGATGGATTTCTCTGCAAGTTTGTTTCTCATGTATATTTCAGTTCAGTGAAATTCATGTAAACCAGCAGCTCCAAGGAAAACGATTGGAAGTCATGCAAAACATTGGCAAACTGTGGTGTGTTATATATAGTATAGTCACAATCCAGACTATTGGAGATAGGATAGTGCCTATCCATTGTCCAACTGTTCCTCTAAATCTAAAGGATTTGCATGAACAGCATCCACTAACAAACATACGTCTCTTACTTCAAGGCCTTACTTGAAATGATGCTCTCCCCCCATTCTCCTCTATAGTGAAACAAACTGGGCATATAACAAATTACTTCGTAACAGAGACAGAGCTTTTTAAAACATTGAAAATGGATGTCCCATGCAAAGTTCCCGTCTGCAGTTGGCCTCCTTAACAAGGCCCGGAATTACCCACTGTCATTGACTCTTATACCCACCCTGTATATAAAGTATGCATTACATGTAATTGCACCCATCGTTCTTCTGCACAGCTTTCTCTTTCTCTTCTTATCTTTATCTTTATAAAGTACTTTGTATTTTTCTGTGGTATTTTGGTGATTTGAATAATTGTATAATTTGTATATTGGTATTTGTATATGAGTATATTTTATGCACCAATCTGCACCAGGTCAACATTCCTTGTAGGCGTAAAAACCTACTTGGCAATAAACAAAAGTTCTGATTCTGATTCTGATTCTGGAAGTTATATGGTACAACACTGTTTACAAGCACATGGCTTCTGCATGGCACTGTCCTTAAAACTATGGACTGGTTCTGCGATGCAGTTTTTTAAAATTTTAATTGTTTCCACGCATTTTTGAGACTGGCTTATATGATGACCGTTCTAGTTGAGTGAAATGCAGGAAAAATCTGGAGTTTGCCAGCACTGTACTGTGTGCAGGGTGACTGTGATCATAAGTCATTCTTGACTGCATCCTGTCAGGCAAAATCTGCAAGGTAATGAGATGTGATTCATAAATCTGCCAAGGCAGTGATTACCATCATGGAGTGCCATTGACCTATTCTGAGCAGTGGCATATGTGACAGGCATTAAAATGTTAGTGCTAACTGTAGGCACATTGCAGGCACTAGCATAGAAGAA